TTATGCCTGCAGTTTTTCCCTGAGTCTGTAAATTGTCTTTGAGCTTTATCCAACTAACTCTTATAAAATAAACACGGAGACCATGTCCAGGGTCATTGTCTCTCCATCAGAGGACAATGTCCCACCTGGTCCCCACTTTTCCTTAAACTGTCTGTGTCTTTCTTAATCTCCCATTGCCCCCCCTCCTCAGGGACCTCTTCCCCTCCCTGGTCGCAGCAATTAGCACTTTATCTGTGATAATAGCTTGCAAATATTTTCTCCCAATTTGTAAGTTATCTTTTGACTTTATTTTTTAATGTAGTGTAATCTTTGAATATATCAGATTTTTCAATATTTTCTTCTATGGCCTCTTTTGTTCTAAGTTATAGTTAGAAAGTTCTTTTTTACACTAAGATTAAACAGGAATTTACCCATGATTTCCTCTAGGACCTATATGGTTTCATTTTTCATGTTTATATCCCTGACCTATTTGGAGTTTATCATTGTGGTATGATGTGAGTTCTGGATAAAATTTTATTTTTTTTCCAAATGTCAAACCACTGCTTCCATCTATATGTTTATATTTTAACTTTTTATTTTGAGATCATTTTAAATATATATGCTATTGCAAGAAGTAATATAGAGATTCCCATATCACCTTCATCCAGTTTCCCTCAATGCTAACTTTTTGTAAAACAACCATACAATGTCATGACCCAAAACATTGATATTGATACAATATACAGAACTTATTCACATATTTCCAGTTTTACATACACCCATTTGTGTATGTCTGTGTATATTTAGTTCTATGAAGTTTTATCACAGGTACAGGTCATGTGACCACCCCCATCATGATTCAGAACATGATTTACAAGAATCCTTTTGCTATCCTTTTATAGTCACATCACCTACTCTTCACCCCTTCTCCCCCAGTCCCTGGCAGCCTCTAATCTGTTCTCCATATCTGTATTTTTGTCATTTTAAGAATGTTATATAAATGGAATCATGCAGTTTGTATCTTTATGAGATTTGCTTTTTCTCACTCAGTATAATTCCTTTGAGTTCCACCTACCATATTTTGCTATGTATAATGTGCTCCAGTGTATAATGTAAGCCTATGTTTTGTGCACATTATAAATGGAGTTATTATACCCATGGTATATGATCATTATACCCATGAATAATGTGTATCCTTATTTTTCCCTCAAAAATTTGGGCAGAAAAGTGTTCATTAAACATGGCAAAATACGGTAAGTTATTGTGTTTTAATGGTTCATTCCTTTTCATTACTGAGTGTTTTTCCATGGTGTATATATTTTGTTTAACCATTTACCTGTTGAAGGACATATGGGTTAGTTCCAGTTTTTGGTTATTACAAATAAAGCTGCTATAAACATTCATCTATAGACATTTGTGTAAACATAAGTTTTTATTTCTCTGGGATAAACAGCCAAGACTGCAGTTGTTGTGTTATATGGCAAACTATATACTTACTTTTCATTATGAAACATCAATTACTTCAATTTTTTCATTCCAGTTCTGTGGCTAAAGGAATTATTGCACTGTCCATAAAAACTGATGTTTGCAGCATCATTGGGCATGAGGGGAATGAAATTAAATCTAAATGTGCCACTGCACACCCTGTAAAATGGTTAAAATTCCAAAGACTGACAATAATAATGCCGATGATGTGGAACAACTGGAATTCTCATACACTGTAGCTGAGTGTATAGTAGAACAATCACTTTCAAATACTATTTTGCAATATCTATTAAAGCTAAGTATATGCATACTTTCTAACCCACCAATTCTGATTTCATAGGTACTTCAAAAGACTGGCACAAGAATGTTCATAGCAGCTTTCCTCACAATGGCCCCAAACTGGAAACAACCGAAATATTCCAACAACAGGAGAATGGATAAAGTATGGTATATTCAGACAAAGAAATACTATATAACAATGTTAAATGACAGTCAACTGCTAAGTGCAACAATATGAATGACTCTTACAGATACAATGTTGAGTAAAAGAGGCCAGACACCAAAGTACATACAGTGAGATTCCATTTATAAAAAGTTCAAAACCAGACAAAACGTATCTATTGTGATAGAGGTCAAAATAACAGTTAACTCTGAGGTATAATGAAAGGAATGAGACATGAGGGACACTCTTCTGGGATGTTGAAAAGTATTTTTATCAAAAAGTGGTGGCAAGGGTTTATAACACAAATCATTGAACTAGAATTTTAAGATCTGTGCTGTGTGTTGTACAAAAGTTTTATTAAAAATGAAGGAAAAGAAATCATATATGCTCAAAATAAATGGCAAAGCTATGTTTTGAATCCACATTTCTTTAACTACAAAACCACTTCTCTTTAAATTCTGCTTTTTGCTTCAGAAGCTCTTATTTTATTACATTTAGTGAAACCTAGGCATAGGTAATTCATTTAAAAAACCACAATTTCCACTGGACTGATAGATTCAAAAGACTGATAATACCCTACATTAGTAGAATAGACACTCTCTCTATATGTTACATGTCAGTGAAAATTTAAGCAGGGCAATTGATAAAGATGTATAAGCAGGTTAAACTATGAAAGCCTCATTCTCAACCATATTGCTGAGTACATGCAGGCAAACAATGCAGTAAAAAATTATGACTCAGTTTATAATATAGTGACATGAAAAGCTGTTTGATGTATTTTGTTAGACAAAGAGATAGATTACAAAACAGTATTGCAGTATGATTCTGTTTTGACTGAGAAAATCCTATGTGCGTATAGCCATATGTTAATTCACAGAAAACAGGTGAAAAGATTGGAATAAATTGTGCAAAGAAGCTCTTTCTAGGTAAGCTTTACTTAAAGCTTTTCTGCATTTTCTAAATTTCTGAATTAAGAATTTACTAATTTTACAGTCAGAAAAAATAATAGAGCCAATCCCTCCCTCTCTGAGAGCAGACAAAATAATAGATTTGTGTGTGACACATGGAGTACAGTGTTGTAGTGGTTTGAATTCTGGCTGAAGAGGCCTGAACTTTCTTCCTAGATGTGAAGCCCTTCAGATGAGTGACTCAAATACTACCTTAAAAGTCCTAAATCTTGAATCCTAAGATTTTATACACAATGGATCCCTTATACTTTGCCCCTTACTTACCTAGGCTCAGATCTGTTGTTGCCAATCTCTATACCAACCTTTGCTACAACAAGGAAATGATAGCTGCCTTGGAAATTAATCAACTAATAATTGAACTCTGCACATAGGAGAAATGGGACTTAGGCCTGATGTGACTATGCAGAAATTCAGATCATTCCCTTAGTCATCAGGCAGAAAAATAAGTTGAGAAAGCAATCTGAAGGATCAGGATAATGACACTTTAGAAGTAACATAGCAGAGACATCCATTTCTACCTCCAGGAATTTTAAACCAATCCTTCAGAAAGTTACCTAAGCACCCTAAAGAGCCACAGTGAAGAAAATAAGATGGCTCCAGAATGCTGATTTTGAATTGGAAAAGGGGAAAGAGCAATTGTAATCAGGGAGACCCAACTGATTAGTTAAATGTGTATAGGTCCTATATCACACACACTTGAACAAATTTCTCTAAGTGGGGTGAGTCATCTACACTCTGCTCAGCAGAAGTCAATGTTACACTCTGGCATCTACAGACCCCTGAATAGACAGGAACTCCTGTCCCCATATGGTCCTAGAAGGGAATGTAAAGTTAAGTGAAGACATTGGAGCTGAACAGCAAAGAAAAAGATTTGCCTAGGAAAGTTATTAGTTAACTAAATTACAAAATGTCCATGTATAAAATACTAAGACAAATGCAAAGTTGTAGAAAATAATGAAGGATATGGAATATTTTTAAGATGTACTATCAGCAGAGAAATCACTTTACAAAACAGGTTGACCAATCTAATTATATCAACATAAGGTGATAGAAAAAAGACCAGGGAGTTAAATACCTATTTCCGTTACCTATTGCTGTGTATCCACCTCAGAAGTTTGTAGCTTAAAACAAAAAGCATTAATTACCGCATTATTCTGGGAGAAGCAGGAGAAAACGAAGCAGCAGGAAACCCTGGAATACAGATACTAACAAAGGAGAGAACATAAATTTGGCCCCTGGGCTGGGGACACAAACTCCATTTACACCCCTCTCTGAGTTACGCAGGAGGCTGGGCACTGAAGGTGGGGGTACCATGAAGAAGGCTGCTCAGGAAAGGCTTCAGTGTAGGGCAACTCTGGTTAACACAGGCATCCTCCTTCTTAGGGGCAGACATACTGTCAAGGAGCTCTTCAGCAGAACCTCTCAGTCCCAACGGTTAAACCAAGAACTGCAGAAATGAAACACTACGCCTGGTGACAACAACCAAAACTAACCGATCAGAGTTAAAAGCCTCTTGCATGGCACTAAGCAAGGACAGCATTATCTTATAACGGGCGGTCTCAAACCAACCGTGCCACGTTTCCCACAGGACAGCCAACCACGGTCATTCAGAAAGTTCCGCACGTGGGCAGAGACACACAAAACAATCACGCACCCTTCCCGGCCTCAGCAGCACCTACACACAAATGCTCACACTCACTTAAACTCCGTACCTATGCCTGAGCTCCGGAGTCCACAGCCCTGTCTGCGCCTTGTGGGCTGCGGATTTCCTCCCTTCGAGCGCCTGCGGGGCCCAGACACCTAGGTTACCACTAGGAGCGCGAGGAAATTGAGGATTTGTGGAGGGGAGCAAGAAATGATTGGAGATCAAAGTTCTCTTCCAAAGCATCCCAGGGCGGTGGGAAATGTAGTTCAAAGCTGAAAGGCGGGATGTGCAGGGGATGTACTGAGAAGCCGGCACCAAACCCAGAGCCGCAGAGACTCTTGGGCTGCAGAGCCGGCGGAGTACGCAGGCGCAGACGGCTGGCTAGGGGCGGAGGTGAGACCGGTGGGTGCTAGGGGCTAGGAGGTGGCGGTGGCGGGCTGCAGGGTAATGCTAAGGAGGAGGGCGGGAACCTGGGCTGGGGAAAGCGAGCTAGCGGGAACTTATGCTGAGAAAGCCGGGGAAGAAAGCGACAGTCCGGGTCCTAGTGGAAGCGAGGAGGGAAGCCAGAACCTAGTCAGAGGAAGGAACTAGGAGCCAAGGCCGGGAGCGCCAAGGAGGGAACGGAGAGCCCGGACCGCAGCGATCCAGGCTGGAGAGGGCCTAAGAGGGAACTGGAAATCCCAGGCGGGCCTGAGCTAGGCCTGGGCAGGAATTGTGTATGTTTTTCCCTTCACCCTACCCCCAACCCGTAAGGAAACCCAGGTATCAGAGCGCAGCCGGCACCACAGGGGCAATCGGTTTGTGTAGCTTTGTGTGCCTGTCTGTGTTTGGGCACGTGTTACTCCGCGTGACATTCTGGCACTAATTGGTTGTGAAAGTGTTAGGATCTCTGCATGTGTCTAATTTTTAAAATACGTGCATGTCAATTTTTTTAATTGTTCAATTACAATTGTTCCCATTATGCCTCCATTACTCTCCCCTGCCCAACGCAACCCCCAGCTCCCACATTCAGTCGTCCCTCCTGTTGTCTTTGTCCATGGGTCCTTTAAACATGTCCCTTGACTTGACCCTTCCCCCAACTTCCCCCTTAAACCTCTCCCCCTCCCCGCTGGTCACTGTCAGTTTGTTCCTTATTTGCATGCCTCTGGTTCTATTTTGCTCCATCGTTTGTTTTGTAATTAGGTTCCACTTACAGGTGAGATCATATGGTATTTGTAGTTCACTTCTGGGCTTATTTCACTAAGCTTAATACTCTCCAATTCCATCCATGCTGTCGGGAAGGGTAGGAGCAACTTTTTCCTTTCTGCTGCGTAGTATTCCATTGTGTAAATGTACCATTTTTTTTTTTTTTTGATCCATTCCTTTACTGGTGGGCATTTAGGCTATTTCCAGCACTTGGCCATTGTAAATAATGCTGTTGTGAACATTGGGGTGCATAGTTTCCTTTGAATTGGTGTTTTAGGAACCTTAGGGTATAATCCCAGCAGTGGAACTGCTGGGTCAAAAGGTATTTCCATTGTTAGTTTTCTGAGGAAATTCCATACTGTTTTCCACAGTGGCTACACTAGTCTACATTCCAACCAACAGCACTAGGTTCTCTTTTCACCACAACTTGGTCAGCACTTGTTTGTTGATTTGTTTATGATGGCCATTCTGACAGGTGTGAAGTGGTAACTCATTGTGGTTTTAATTAGCATATCTCTGATGGCTGGTGATACTGAGCATCTTTTCATATGTCTCTGTGCCCTCTGGTATGTCCTTCTTGGAGAAGTGTCTATTCAGGTCCTTAGCCCATTTTTTAATTGGATTGTTTGTCTTGCTAGAGTGGAGTCATGTGAGTTCTTTAAATATTTTGCAGATGAAATCCTTGTCTGAGGTATCATGGGCAAATATATTTTCCCATATTGTTGGTTACTTTTTCATTGTGCTGCTGTTTTCTTTAGCCATGCAGAAGCTTTTTATTTTGATGAAGTCCTATTTGTTTATTCATTACTTTATGTCTCTTGCTATAGGGGGCATCAGTGAAAATATTGCTGTGTGGAATATCTGAAATATTCCTGCCTATATTCCTCTAGGACTTTCATGGTGTCACAACTTATATTTAAGTCTTTTATCCATCTTGAATTTATTTTTATGTATGGTATAGGTTGGTGGTAGAGTTTCATTTTTTTGCATGTAGTTGTCCATCTCTCCCAACACCATTTGTTGAAGAGGCTATTTTTACTGCATTTATGCTCCTGCCCTCTTTGTCAAATATTAATTGACCATAGAGACATGGGTTTAATTCTGAAATCTCTGTTCTGTACCATTGATCTATGTGTCTGAACATACCAGTACCAGACTGTTTTGATTACAGTGGGCTTATAATATAGTTTCATATCAGGTATTGTGATCCCTCCTACTTTGTTCTTTCTCAAAATTGTGGAGGCTGTTCCAGGTCATTTATGGTTACATTTAAATTTTTGACATTTTTGTTCAGTATCTGTAAAATATGTTGTTGGTATTTTAATAGGGATTATGTAGAAACTGCAAATTGTTTTGCATAGTATGGAAATTTTGATGATATAGTTCTTCCATTCCATGACCATGGTATATGCTTCCATTTATTTCTTTCTTCAGTGTTCTATAGTGTTCTGAGTATAGGTCTTTTACCTCTTTGGTTTGGTTTATTCCTAGGTAATTTATTGTCCTTGTTGCTGTAGCAAATGAGATTTTCCCCCCCTAATTTCTGTTTATGATATTTCATTGTTGGTGTACAAAATGCCATCAATTTCATAATATTGACTTTGTATCCCACTGTTTTACCCAATTCACTTATTAGGTCGAGTAGTTTTTTTGGTGGAGTCTATAGGATTTTCTATGTACACTACCATGTCATCTACAAACAATGACACTTTTACATCCCCCTTTTCAGTTTGGATGTCTTTATTTCTTTTTGTCTTGTGATCACTGTGGCTAGAATTTCCAATACTATGTTGAAAAGAAGTGAAAGCAGATATCCTTGTCTTGTTCCCAATCTTAGTGAGCAAGCTTTTAGTTTTTGCCCATTGAATATGATGTTGGCTATGGTTTTCCATATGTGACCTTTATTATGTTGCAGTATACTCCATCTACTCCCACTTTGCTGACTGTTTTTATCTTAAATGGGTGCTGTACCTTATCAAATGCTTTTTCTGCTTCTATTGATACAATCATGTGATCTTTGTCTTCTCTTTTATTTATGTGATGTATTGATTTCCGAATATTGTACCAACCTTGCATCCCTGGATTAAATCCCACCTGATCATGTCATGTGATCTTTTTAATGTATTGCTGGATACAGTTGCCAATATTTTGTTGAGGATGTTAGAGTCTATGTTCTTCAGCAATTTTGGCCTGTAGTTTTCTTTCTTTCTTGTGATTTTATCTGGTTTTGGGTGTAGGATGAATCTGGCCACATAGAAAGACTTTGGGAGTCTTTCTTCTTCTTGGATTTTTTGGAATAGTTTGAGAAGGATAGGAATTAGCTCTTACTTAAATGTTCTGTAAAATTCTCCTATGAAACCACTGGATCCAGGGTTTTTGTGTGTAGGAGTTTTTTTTTTATTACTGCCTCAATTTCACTAGCTGTTACTATTCTGTTCAGGTGTTCTTCTTGATTCAGTTTCGGAAATTATATGTTTCTAGAAATTTGTCAGTTTCACCCAGGTTTTCAATTTCTTGACATGTAGTTGTTTGTAGTAATTTCTCACAATCCTTTGTGTTTCTGTGGATTCAGTTGTAATTTCTCCTCTTTCATTTCTGATTTAATTTATTTGGGTCCTATTTTTTTTCTTGATGAGTCTGGTTACAGCTTGTCAGTTTTATTTATTTTTTCAAAGAACCAGCTCCTGGATTTATTCATTCTTTTCATTGTTCTTTAGTCTCTTATGTCATTTAATTCTGCTCTGATCTTGATTATTTCCTTCCTTCTTCTCACTCTGGGTTTTGTTTGTTGTTGTTCTTCTAGTTCTTATAGCTGTAAGGCTAGGTTTTTTATTTGAATTTATTCTGTCTTTTTTCAAGTAGGTCTGTACTGCTCTGAACATCTCTCTCAAGACTGCCTTCGCTGTGTTCCATATGTTTTGGACTGTTGTGTGTTCATTTTCATTTGTTTCCAGAAACTTTTTGATTTCTTCCTTGATCTTGTTATTAATCCATTCATTGTTTAATAGCATGTTATTCAGTCTCCATTAATTTGAATGTTTGAGTTTTTTCCTTGAGGTTGATTTCTAGTTTCAAACTCTTGTGGTCTGAGAAAATGCTTGATACAATTTCAATTTTCTTGAATTTGTTGAGGCTTGTTTTGTATCCTATCATGTGGTCTCTGTTTGAAAGTGCCCCGTGTGCCTCTGAGAAGAATGTGTATTTTGCTTCTTTGAGATGGAAGGCCCTATTTATATCAGTTAAGTCCATTTGCTCTAGTGCCTGATTCAATGCCACAATATCCTTGTTGATATTTTGTTTGGAAGATCTATCCATTGTTGACAGTGAAGTGTTAAAATCGCCTACTACCAGAGTGTTTCTGACTTTATCTTTCTTGAAGTCCTTCAAGATTTTCCTTATTTGGGTGTTCCTATGATGGGTGCATATATGTTTACAATGGTTATATCTTCCTGATGGATTCTTCCCTTGAGTATTATGAAGTGTCCTTCTCTGTCACTTTTTAAGGCTTTTGTTTGGAGTCTGTTTTGTCTGATATTGCTGACAAGTATTGCTGTGCCAGCTTTTTCTGTCCTGTCTATTTGCTTGGAATGTATTTTTCCAATGCTTCACTTTCAGTCTGTGTAGGTCTTTTGTTCTAAGGTGGGTTTCTCATAGGCTTTATATGTGCAGGTCATGTTTTCTCATGCATTCAGCTACACTGTGTCTTTTGATTGGAGCATTTAATCCGTTTACATTTAAGGTTATTATTGATAGGCACTTACTCAGTATCATTTTCCCTCTTTGTACCTGTGTTGCTCTCTCTGTTCAACTTCTTAAAAAGCAATCTCAATATGTCTTGCAATGTTGGTTAGGTGGAAGTGTATTCTTTTAGCCTTCTTTTGTCTGGGAAACTCCTTATTTTACCCTCCATTTTAAATTAGATCCTTGCTGTATAGAATAGTCTCGGTTGCAGGCCTTTGTTTCTCATTAGTTGGAATATTTCTTGCCATTCTCTTCTGGCTTATAGTGTTTCTATTGAGAGTCAGCTGCTAGCCTTATCAGGGCTCCCTTGTATGTTACTTCCTATTTCTCCCTTGCTGCCTTTAAGATTCTGTCTTTGTCTTGGAATTTTGCCATTTTAATTATGCTGTGTTTTGAAGTGGGCCTGTTTGAGTTAATCTTGTTTGGGACCCTGTATGTTTCCTGGACTTGTGTGAATATTCTCTCATCATTACAGAAGTTTTCCATCATTACTTTTCCTAACAGGTTTTCTATCCCTTGCTCTTCTTCTCCTGCTGGTATCCCTGTTATACAGACATTATTATGTTTCATGTTTTCCTGCAGTTCCCTTGAGCCCTCTTCATTCTTTTTTAGTATTTTTTCCTTTTCTTGCTCTTTCTGGGAATTTATTTCTACCTTGCCCTCCAGCTTGGTAATTTGATCCTCTGCTTCATCTAGGCTGCTTTTGATTCCTTCTACTGTGTTCTTCAATTCAGAATTTGTATTCTTCCTTTCCTCCTAACTCTTATTGATAGTTTTATGCCCTTTTTCATGCTTATGTAGCTTGCAGTACATTCCTTGTAGCTTCTGTGTAGTTTCTGGTAATTCTCACTGAGCTCATTGAGCTTCCCTATAACCATTGTTTGAAATCCATATCAACAGTTACTTGCCTCTATTTCATTTAACACTCTTTCTGGGGATTTCTCACTCCTTTCGCTGAGGGTTTGTTTTTTTCATGTTCTCATTTTTTGGGAGGCTCTCCTTGTTTGCTTCTGCTTATTAAAATGATTTGTTTTTACTCCCTGTCTTTGAGGTATGAAATTCTATGGTAGGAGACCTGTGTGATTCAGTGGTGTAGTGTCTTTGGTATCCTGAACTTGATGCTCTTGGGATGCCCTTTATGCCAATTTATGTTGACTCTCCAGATGTAATTGGGTTTTGATTGTTATTGGGTCATTCTTTGATGAGTCCTTCCCTCTAGCTGGTTGACTGAGGGTCACTCCACCTGCCACGTCTTATATGCTGTTGTGCATGTGCTGCCAGAACAAAACCACAAAGCTCAGGAAAGAAACCCACACCTGAAAAAATAACTCCCACCCACAATCCCACCATCAATAGCAAATTAACCAGTATTAATAAGGATATAAAGACATTAAGACTATTACAAGAAAGGAGAGTGAATCTGAGATGACCTCCTGAAAGAAAAATGATTTTGAGAGGGTAAAAGGAGGAGCACTAATAAGAGTAGGATATCACACGAATGTGAAGAGAAAAAGTAATATTTACAACATAAATTTTTAAAAAGGAGGGAAGAAGGCAGAATGGAGTAAGACAAGGGAAGTGTATAGTATTAGGTTTAAACAGAAATTAAAATAAAGTAAGAGAGAAAGAAAAAGGGGAAAAAATAAATAACAAAAAAGGAACCAAATCATAGAGGAAGATCCATCACAGCCCTATCAACAACAAGTGAACTAAAATTAATATAGGTGTGAGGGGAATAAGAGGGAAAAAAGAAAAGCTTAAGATGTCTAGAGGAAAGTGAAGTGATTTTGAGGTGATAGAGGTAGAGGGAATACTATTAGTGAGTAAGTGATTAGTGATTAGTGAGGTGAGACAGGGAAAAATTGAAAGTTGAAACAAAGAAAAGTAGCAGAGGGAACAGTAAAAATTGAGATTTGAAATACAAAATTCATGAAGCTCTAGGGATAAAATTGAAAAAAAATGCAACAATAACCTTATCCACAACCAACGAGGAAAGATTGCTGAACGTGGAGAGAATGCAGGTTTTTGAAGAGTAGGAAAAGAATGTGAGATGACCATTCACAAGAAAATTGGTTTTGAGAGGCTGGACACAGGAGAAATAGTAAGAGTGTGGAAAGGAAACAAGTTGTAGCAAGAGAGAAAACAAAATTTAAAATGAAAATAATGAAAGAAGAAGGTAAAATGGGTGACAGAAGGAAGGGCGGGGCAAAATATGTGAATTGTAATAAACTATGGTATAAAATCTAGTGACAGTATGCACGAACTTGAAGGACAAGAAATAAATATTAAAGAGCTTTGCAGGAAAGTATTACAAATGATGGAGAAGACCACAGTGGGCTTCATCTGGGTACCATCTAGCATTTGCCACTGTTTTTCTTTCTGGATCCAGCTCTGGTGATGTCAGATGATGACCTTGTTTGGCCTTAAGCAGCCTGTATAAGACTTCCAGGGATCTGGTGTCTGTGGCTGACTCCTTCAGTTGTTAATTTATTCACTCTTCACTTAGCAGTTAGGCTTAAATACTGTGGATGGGGCAGAATCCCTCCTGGGGTCAGAGCTTTTGTTTCCCCTCAGGTGGCTGCCACTTGGAGGGGAGTGGTCTGCCTGAGCATGAGGGCTGCTGTTGCCGTATGGGGGATGACTCAGCACCAGAATCCTGGCAGCTACTCTCTCAGTTCTTTCCCCAAAGCTTCTGTCCCCAGTGTTTAAAGCATTTCTAGTCCACTCTGCCCACCAGCTCCCTGTGCCAGAGCCCAGGGTAAATGGCTGCAAATGAAAATTTATATGTTAACCTTTTAAACAGCCCTTTGCATCTATCTGGCAGAGAAAAACCCTGCCGGTTTTTGCAACTGGATGTTATCTGTGTACTTTTCAGGCTCTTGTGCTAGGCTGGGGTTCCCAGCTTAGGGATTACACCCCACACTTCTCAGGGGCATCCAACTAACTGCTTAACAATCCCTCTGGCACTTTAGCTGCTACCTGTGGGCACCCAGCCAACCCTTGCGTGTCTCCACCGCACTCCCTACCAGTCACACTGTGCTCAATCTGTTTCTTCTGTCTGTCTGTGGTTATAAGGCTTCTCTCTGTCACTGTTGTTCAGTTGTTTGTTCTGGGCGATTTCTCCACAATTTAGTTGTAATTCCAGATTAGTCCTGGGAGGAGGTTAGTATAACTTCTACTCCTCCACCATCTTGGATCCCTCTCTCCCAATAATTGCTCAATTTGTTTTTGAGACTGTATGCAACTTCAGAGAGGCCACTGTGAGAGGTTTGTGCATGAAATTTTGCTACTTTGTGAAGAAGTATTGTTATGGGCTCCGTGAGATTATACGTGACGTGTCTGTGGAATGGTGATTGTGTATTGCTTGCATAAGTGTATATATGTCTGATTTTTGAAGTATTTTGTGTGCATAGTTCACAGCGACTAATTTGAATGTGGCTCATTGTGTAATTGAGATGGAGTGCTTGATAATTGGATGCATGATTAGTTAAATATGTATTGTTTAGATTATCTGAATATTGGTTATTTTATATGACCCTTGCAATTAGACAAGTAAAAGAAATAGAGGTTTTAAAAATGGAGATGATGAGGTAAAACTTTTAAAATTTCAGATTATAGGATAGTATATTGGGAAACCTCATATTGACTAATGACTAATATGTTGAAATTAGTAGAACCCATAAGTGACACTCAAAATTTCTATTGGGGTGATTTTTTTTCTGCTGCTGCTGCATAAATTACTGGGCAGATTTAATAATTTCTTCAGTCATTATGAAAATAATTAAAAATCTATTGGACATTTAAACACAAGATCAATCCAATTTTATAATATTCATTTAACTAAATAAAATATTCATTGTATAAATCAATACTTCAAACTTATTTTAAAAGCAGAAAACTCTCCCTTCTGCTGGAAGCCTGCAATTTCTTCTCTAATTCTCAACCTCTATTTTGCTCCTGTTTATTCCCTCTAGGTGGGTAGTCTCCAGCTAAAATGTATTGAGAGCTGGAAAAGGGATGAGAAGTCAGAAGTTAGGGACAGGAAGAGGCTAACATGGCTGGTAACATTATAATTTAGTGTAAGTCATCTCTTACCCTCTGAGAGAACCCACTGCTGGGAACTTCCAGATATGCTTTTCTTCTAGTGGGTACAACCACTTTTCCAGCTGCCTCCCCAGTTCTTCCTCTGGATATGCAGTGGCCCATCTGGTCTGGTGGGTCTTGCCTCTCCATTCAGTCCTCTGGGACAGGAGGATACAAGCCAATCCAGGTGGGCTCCATCCATGGGTTCCTTATTTAGAGCTCAGGTGAGAATTAGCCACCATAGTCAACTTTGCCCTCCCAAATCATGGGAGCATGTGAAATTTTCCCACAAATTCTCTCATCACTTTAGTTCCTAGTGGCCTCAGGGTGTGAAGGGCCCCTGTATGTTATAAGGAAGGGAGAATCACCCACTTTTCTCCCCCTTGGAAATCTATGTTCTAAAAATAATATCCTCCCTTAAAGAGACTCCCTTCTCTCAGCTTCTCCGGCCTCTTGAAATAGGAGTTAAATTAATGGTAGCAAAACTTTACAGCCAATTGCTTTACAGACTTTATTTTAGAATGAGGGGCACTTGTTTAATGCACTGTCTTTGGGACATCTGCTGAGTCTGAGGCAAAAAGCTTTCTAAGTTACCATACTGTTAAAAATGAACAATGACAACAATTAGAAAACTGAGAAGTTTGTTGGGGAAAAGAAAAAGTATTAGCAAAGCACAGATGTCTATGTAGATGTGTATATAGGTAGCTATATAGATGTCTATGCCTATGTATCTATTTATATGTGTGTGTGTGTGTGTACCAGAAAATAGGAAAGTGGCCAGTGGCCATCAAAAATATGTGATACAAAAGATTACATGATATATTCAAATTTAAAAAAATATTTCTAAGGGACTCAAAAATTAAGACAAATAAAAGGATAGAAAGACACAACATGATACAATATCTAAACAACCAAACATTTCACACAGTTTCAGTAAAAGTTTTAAACTTTCTAAAGTTCTTAGGAGAAAATGAACAAGCCAGAAATTCTGAAAGAAAAAAGTAATGAGGAGGGAAGTAGCCCTAACTGATACTAAAATGTGTTTTAAAACTAGTAACTGCAGAATGATCTTAGCAATTATGAACACATCAGTAGAACTAAATATAAATCCCAGATCTAGTTAAATACGTAAAAGCAATGAAGTATATGATAAAGATGGCAGTTTTGGTGGGTGGAAGAAATACCAGTCATTGCATACCTATCAGTACTAAACCACATGCCCCATAATCTATTTTTTAAGTTACTTTTCCATGGGAAAAACCCAAAGTCAAATGACAAAGTATAAAAAATTATTTTACATAAATATAGGATTAATTTCCTTCCTTTAAGAAAGAGCTAATGTCAACTAGAAAAATAAAAATAACCTAGAAGAAAAGCAACATAATTGTAAGAGACAAGAAACTAAAGATGATTTTTAAACTTATGAAAAGAATTGTATCTTTTCTCATAGTAAGAAAAATAAAAACTCGAAACACAATTTATACTTAATAGATAGACAAGCATCAAGAAATTTGTATCAGCAGTATTCATCAAGGGTGGCAGGTATTCTGACATGTTGCTGGTGACAATATAAAATGTAGAGCCTTAATGGAGAGAAGGTTGGAAATAGTTAATATCAGTAGGCTGCTTAGGCAAGAAAACATGGTGCTAGAGGGGAAAAAAGCTTTCTCAAAATTTAACCTGTTGCTCCAAGGGCCTGTATCTCTGGCTTTGGGAATAAAATAAAATTTATCTAGCTTATTCTCCCTCCTGTATTATTTATGTGGGATTGCTGAGAGGACAAAGGCCAAAACAAAAGAAATGGAGGCAATTAGAGCTGTAAGCCATGTCTGTGATGTGATGTGGCATCTTTTCATATTGGCTTTCCCTTAGGAACCACCACTTTTCCAAAGAGGAACCCAAAGGAAGACTGGGCATCTCTTGCAAATCTCAAAACCATGGCTCAGGTGAGGTGCTGGTTTCTCTCTCCTTTCTGAAATAGTCTTTTTTTTTAAGGGTATTTGAGCCTTTGCCATTTTTGTATTAAATCCTTTTGCCTGCCTTTCCCTCCAGAGAAGTGGTCCCCAGTTCTTCCCATATTGACAAAATAAGCCTTTACCTTCCAAAAGTGTTCCTTCTAATTTTAACCAGTGTTTATACATTGAATGAGTATATCATTCAACATCTTTCTCAGTCTTCTCTCAAAAGAAATACTGGCACAAAAATGCATTTCCTCAAGTTAAATGAGAATGTATTACTGCATGAACTTGTATAGATAAAAACAGTCAAGACGGAGATAGAATTGAAGTCCTATCTTGAGGCTTTCAGAATACATTGTGCTTGACAGATTATATACAGAACTGAGATTCTTGTATTTCTCCTGTCTGGTCCTTCAATTTTTCTCATGGCTGCTAACAATTCTAAAATTCTGTAGCCTCCCAATAACACTTCCCCAGTATGCTATAATAGTATCATAGATTTATTTCTGTTTTAAATTTCTTCTAATTTTACATACAAAAGTAAATGTATATGCCTGGACACCTAAGATCGTAACTCTTGAAATATTCTGCTCTTGGTTTCAAAGATATTTCTCTCTTGGTGTTTTCTTTCAGAACATTTATCTTTATTCGTGGATCTCATAAATACTGGTGTTGTCCAGATTCTGTATTGGTTCTCTTCTCTTTACAGTTTCTTGTTCTATTCACAATGCACCACAATTATTCTAATGATGCTCAAATAATTTTAATTGTAAACTGCCATTCTGAGTATCAAAACCATGTCTAACCTGCAAATAAATATCACCACCACCTGCAACTTCCACAGGTACTTCAGACACATGCCCAATATTTACCTCATCAACCCCTGCCCATCCTATTCTTTTGGGGTTTTTAAAAATACTTTTTCTAATCTGCTTATGGCCCCAGCCCACCTGCTAATACAGCTATCCTTAGTTAAGATGCCTCTCACTGTTAAATTTCATTTCTTATACCACAGTTCCCTTCATCACCACTGATGTCATCTTTTCTTGGGTACTTCTTCACAGCAGTCACTTGTCTTTCTATTCAACAGCTTTGGTCCTTTTCCAGTCCTTTAAGTGTTCATCCCAGTACTCAGAAATCTTTGTGTTTCTTACACTTTTCTGTTTAATTTTTTTTAATTGTAGTAAAATATATATAACATAAAAAATTCACCCTGGCTGGCATAGCTCAGTGGATTGAGCGCGGGCTGTGAACCAAAGTGTCTCAAGTTGGATTCCCAGTCAGGGTACATGCCTGGGTTGCAGGCCATGACCCCCAGCAACCGCACATTGATGTTTCTCTCTCTCTCTTTTTCCTTCCCTTCCCGCTCTAAAAATAAATAAATAAAATCTTTTAAAAAATTACCATTTTAGCCATTTTAAGTATATAATTCAGTGCTATTAAGTACATTCACATTGATGTATAACCAGCACTGCTATTTCCAGAACTTTTTAAAATTAAGTTTATCAGTTATGTTTGACATTCAATATTATTTTATGTTACTTCCAGGTGTATAGTATAATGCTTAGACAGTTATATAGTTTGTGAACTCATCCCCTCCAATAATTCAAGTACCCACTTGATACCCTACATAATTATTACAATATTATTGACTATATCCCCTATGTTGTATGTTACATCCCTGTGATTATTTGTCACTGTCAATTTGTACTTCTTTTTTTATCCTCATCCAAAGTGAGGATAAAAATTACACATTCAATGCAATACCTATTAAAGCACCAATGGCTTATTTCACAGATATAGAACAAACACTTCAAAAATTTATATGGAACCATAAATGACCCTGAATAGCTGCTGCAATTTTGAGAAAGAAGTGTAAAGTAGGAGGGATCACAATACCTGACACTAAACTATACTACAAGGCCACTGTAATCAAAACAGCTTGGTACTGGCATAAACACAGGCACATGGACCAATGGAACAGAACAGAGAGCCCAGAAATAAACCCAAGTCTCTATGGTCAATTAATATTTGACAAAGGAAGCAGCAACATAAAATGGAGTAAAAATAGCCTCTTCAACAAATGGTGTTGGGAGAACTGGACAGCCACATGCAAAAAAATGAAACTCGAGCACCAACTTACACCTTATACAAAAATAAATTCAAGGTGGATAAAAGACTTAAATATAAACTGTGACACCATTAAAGTCCTAGAGGAGAACGTAGGTAGGAAAATCTCAGATATTTCATGAAGAAACTTTTTTACTGACTTGTCCCCTAGAGCAAGGGACATAAAGGAAAGAATAAACAAATGGGACCTCATCAAAATTAAAAGCTTCTGCACAGCTAAAGAAAACAGTATCAAAATTAAAAGAGAACCAACTGTATGGGAAAACATATTTGCCAATGATACCTCAGACAAGGGTTTAATCTCCAAAATATATAAAGAACTTACATGACTCCACTCTAAGAAGACAAGCAACCCAATTAAGAAATGGGCAAAGGACTTGAACAGACACTTCTGCAAAGAGGACATACAGAAGATCCAAAGACACATGAAACGATGTTCAATATCGCTAGCTATCAGAGAGATGCAAATTAAAACCACAATGAGATACCACTTCACACCAGTAAGAATGGCCATCATAAATAAAGCAACAAACAACAAGTGTTGGAGAGGTTGTGGAGAAAAGGGGACCCTAGTGCACTGTTGGTGGGACTGCAGACTGGTACAATCACTATGGAAAGCAGTATGGAACTTCCTCAGAAAACTAAAAATGGATCTGCCTTTTGACCCTGCAATTCCACTGCTGGGACTATATCCTAAGAACACTAAAACACCAATACAAAAGAACCTTTGCACCCTGATGTTCATAGCAGCACAATTTACAATAGCCAAGTGCTGAAAGCAACCTAGATGCCCATCAGTGAATGAATGGATCAAAAATCTATGGTACATTTACACAATGGAATTAATTTTATGCAGCAGAAAGAAAGAAGGGGGTCCTACCCTTTGCAACAGCATGGATGGAGCTGGAAAGCATTATGGTAAGCGAAATAATCCAGGCAGTGAAAGACAAATACCATATGATCTCACCTTTAACAGGAACCTAAACAACAAAACAAAGAAACAAGCAAAATATAACCAAAGACACTGAAATAGAGGACAGACTGACAGTGACCAGAAAGGAGAGAAGAGGGAATTTCAGGGAAGAATGGGTAGGGTTTACAGGAACAAATTTAAAGGACACATGGGCAAAAACTAGGGGGAGGGTGGTAATGGGAGGGAAGTGGGGAGGGTTGGGTGGGTGGGCTGGAATGGGAGTAAAAGGGAGAAAACTGTACTTGAACAATGATTAAAATAAAAAAATAGGAAAAAAACACAAAGGGAGGATAAAAATTGATTATTGCTGATTTTAGAGAGAGAGGAAGGGAGAGAGAGATAGAGAGAATGATCAATGTGAGGGAGAAACATATCTGCTACCTCCTATACATTCCCGGACCAGGGATTGAACCCACAACCTTTTGATGTACGGGATGGCACTCTGACTACTTGAGCCACCCAGCCAGGGCTCAATTTGTACTTCTTCTTTTTTTTAAATATTTTATTTATTTATTTTTAGAGAGGGAAGGGAGGGAGGGAGAGAGAGAGAGAGAGAGAGAAACATCAATGTGCGGTTGCTGGGGGTTCTGGCCTGCAACCCAGGAATGTACCCTGGCTGGGAATCGAACCTGGGACACTTTGGTTCCCAGCCATACTTCTTAATCCCTTTACCTTTTTCGCCCAGCACCCTGCATCCCCCTTCCAGTCTGTCAACCATCAGTGAGTGTGTTCTGTGCATCTGTGAGTCCTTTTCTATAGAGTTTACTTTGTTCTTTAGATTTCACATATAAGTGAAATCATATGGTATTCATTTTCCTCTGTCTGACTTATTTTACTTAGCATAATACCCTCTACCTCTATCCATATTGTCCCAAATGGCAAGATTTCATTATTTTTTATGGTCAAGTAATATTTAATTGTACACATATACCATTTCTTCTTTATCCACTTGTCTATTGATGGACACTTAGATTGCTTCCATATCTTGGCTATATAGCAAGTAATGCGGCAATGATCATAGGAGTGCATATATCTTCTCGAATTAGTGTTCTGGGTTTCTTCAGAAATATGCCCAGAAGCAGAGTTGCTGGGTCATAAGATAGTTCTGTTTTTAAATTTTTGAGGAACTTCCATATTGTTTTGCACAGTAGCTATGACGATTTGTATTCAGTGCATGAGTGTTCTCTTTTCTCTACATTCTTGCCAACTTGTTTGTTGATTTTCTGATAATAGCCATTTTGACAGGTGTGACGTGATATATCTGTCATTTTAATTTTTTAAAATATTTTATTTATTTATTTTTTAGGGAGGTAAAGGGAGGGAGAGAAACATCAATATATGGTTGCTTCTCATGCGTCCCCTACTGGGGACCTGGCTCCTAATCCAGGCATGTGCCCTAGACTGGGAATTGAACCAGCGACCTTTTGATTCACAGGCCGGCACTCAACCACTGAGCCACAGCAGCCAGGGCTCTCCTTGTCATTTTAGTTTACATTTCTCTCATGGTTAGTGGTATTGATCATTTTCTCATATATCTATCGGCCATTTGTATATCCTCTTTGAAGAAATATCTATTCAGTTCCTCTGCCTATTTTTAAATTGGATTGTTTGTTTTTTTGGTGTTAAGTTGTCTTGAGTTCTTTATAAATTTTGTATATTAATCCCTTAGCATCCAAAATCTTCTTCCATGCAGTAGGTTGCATTTTCATTTTATAGTTGGTTTCCTTTGTTGTGCAAAATTTTTTTAGTTTGATGTAGTCCTATTTGTTCATTTTTTCCTTTGGTTTCCGTAGTTTGAACAGATATATCAGAAAAAAATATTGGTAAGACAAATGTCAGAGAGTTTACTGCTTATGTTTTCTTTTAGGAGCTTTATGCTTTTTTG